GTGTGTGTGTGTGTGTGTGTGTGTGTAGGGTGGCCAGATATCCTAACCACAAGGGAGGACGAGGCACTGCCAAATGTAGGGCATTCAAGAAAAACGATTGCCAAGGAAACACTGATAGAAATAATAGAAATTCATGCTTCTTAAGTTCTGCTCAAAATGGAGGACGTTTTTGGAATTCCTCCTGGACAGAAAGGTGGAAATGGAGGACGGGTCCTGGAAGAGGAGGACCTCTGGTCTCTTTCTCTCTCTGTGTAGGGTGACTAGCTATCCTAACCACCAGGGAGGACAAGGCAAAATGTAGGACCTTCCAGGAGAATGTAGTAGGACATGACCAAAGAAAAGCTCAGAAAACACTAATAATATTAATTCATGCTTCTGAAGTCCTTCTCAGAATGGAGAACATGTTGGAATCAAGATGACTGGGCGTCCTCCTTCTCCAGGACCTGCCCTCCATTTCCATCTTCTAGCCAGAGAGAATGTCAAAATGTCCTCCCTCTGGAGCATGACTAAGAAGCATGCATTAAGTGGTTTTGAGCTTTTCTTTGGTCAGGTCCTCCTACCTTTCTCTTGCAGGCCCTACATTTTGCGGTGCCTTGTCCTCCTTGGAGGTTATAACATCTGGTAGTACCCCTGGTTGGAATTCTTCCTGGACAGAAGGTGGAAATGGAGGACAGGTCCTGGAAAAGGAGGACTTGGGGGTGTGTGTGTGTTTGTGTATGCCATGGCTGCGACTTAAAAGTTCCTAGCCCTATAGACTGAGCCCAGGCAGGAGTGGCCCTCCTGAGGGAGGCGGTGGCTACTATTAGTGGCTACTATTAATGGCTACTAATACAGAAGTGTCTACTCTTAGGGGGGCTGAGAGGGGAAGGCGGGAAAGAAGGGAGACTGGGGGTCAAGGGAGAAAGGGGGGGGTCAGTGGTGCCCTGAGGAGAATTAAGGGGAAATTAATTGTGAGGGGAAAGCAGAGCAAAGCAGGGTTTTGGGTGCATTGTGTGGAAGGGCTTTTTTTTTTAAAAAAAGGTGGGTGGGTTTGCCTTTAAGGGAAAGGCATGGTGGGTTTTCTTTCTTTTATTTTTTGGCTGGCCTTTCCACAAACGCAGAGGTCAGTGTGAGCAGAGGTCCTCCTTTTCCCCAGACCTGCCCTCCATTTCCACCTTTCTGCCCAGGAGAGATTTCAAAATGTTCTGCATTTTGAGCGTGATTTTCTATTTCTGTGAGTGTCTTTGAGCTTTTCTTTGGTTAGGTCCTCCTCCATTCCTCTTCGTGTCCTCCATTTGGTGGTGAGGACAGCTGATCACCCTGGCAGAGGTGTGTGTGTATGTGAAGCGTTTATGGAGGATGAGAGAAAGAGATCTCACCAGGACCTCTACCTGTCCATTCAGATGGGCAGTTTGGGTACCCACCTTCTCTGCTTGACCCAAGGGACCACAAACACACACACCTACACCCATGCACCCACCTTTTTGTGGGGCTGACCTAGCCAGGCAGCACCCCTTTTCCCTCTGGGATGCTCCCCCTGGTCAAGGACCATCTTCATCGCTGGCCAGGGCTGTGATGGTGGTGATGGTGGTGGTGATAATGGTGGGTGAGGGGAAAACCTTGCTTCATTGCAGCTGCTGCCTTGATATGGCTGAGAAAGACACATTTGCTTCTCTCCCCTCCCTCCTCCCTGCCGCCCCTGAAACCTAGAAAAATGTGACCCAGATTTTGCAGACAGGAGAAGATTGTTGCTGCTGCTTGGTGGTGAAGACTGGCAGAAATATGGGGTCCCTTCCAACCCCTGTTTAGTCTGGGAACAGGGAGGTGGCTTCCAGGATTGGGGTTGGAGTGGTTGTTGAGGCTCTTAAATTGAACCCAGAGAGCAAGAAAAGAACCCTGACATCCCTGGCCTCCCTGTCACCTCCTCTTCCTTCACTTGTTGTTGTGGTGCCTTCAAGTCATTTCTGACATATGGCAACCCTAAGGGGGATCCATCGTAAGGTTTTCTTGGCAAGGTTTGTTCAGAGGGGGCTTGCCATTGCCTTCCCTTGAGGCTGAGAGAGAGTGACTTGCCCAAGGTCACCCAGTGGGTTTCATGGCCAAGCAAGGAATACTGAATCATATTCTAACGCTCAAACCACTACGCCATGCTGGCTCTCTTCCTTCTGTAGAAGATTTCATTTCCACTTCACCTACTAAGAAGACAAGCTTGCACAGCAGAGCTGTTGATTGTAATGCAACATCCCTTCTCGGTTCCGGTTGTTCAACTTCCTCTCTTCTGCTTTGAGAGATCAGCCAGCCGCAATTCTGTCTCTGCCCCACTCTGCTGTTTCCTTCCCAGTGCCACAGGCAGCAGCCTTTCCAGGCATGCCTCAGTTTCCCTTGTCACCATCACAGCAGTCCTGGATTCCCGGTTCAGAGCCCTTCCAGTGTCCAAAATGTTGTGAAGTTGTGGTGGACCCTGCATCCCAGGCCACATGGGTCTTTACTCCATCAGGAGAGCTTTGTGAAGGCTTTGTGATGTCTTTGGTGGAAAGACCAGTGGCTCTATGTCACACAGTAATTTACGTGGGACATAATCCATTGGAATCATCCTTTTCTGAAGCCCTGTTGAAATATACAGAGTTGTGGCAGAAGACTGTGACCTGTTTTAATGGGAAATCCAGTAACATCAAAAATCCACCCAACAGTGATACCTTTATTGGGCCAACCAACCCAAATGCACAATATACATGTTGCAAGCTTTTTGAAGCTCCACTGCCTTCTTCATCAGGCAAGATATTAAAAACTATACAGGAGAAAAAATGGTTTCTTGCAGACTGGCACCTCTTCCTTCTGGCCATGTGGCTACTGGGAGATTCCAGGAAATTTAACATTCATTTGCAA